TGGAGAGGCTGTGTGCAAAACTGTCGCTCGATTTGGAGCACGAGCGTGGACTCTGACTACGCACTTGTCTGTGCCGACCTCCTGGTGCGTTTCGGTGGACGTCCGCAACGTCGTTGTGCACGGATTGACACCAGTCAGCTGGCGAAGCCAGATGTTCTGAATGTGTGTCAAAGTGCGCTGACATCTGGGCTGAGTAAGCGCCCACTAAACACCGTTGAAGACCACTGGTCGCATATTCGTCAAAGGTTATTATCAGCAGGCATGTCTTCATGTGGCAAATCAAATTGCCAAACTGGACATTGGGTCTCTACGGTCTCTGGAACTTATGGATGCTCGCCGACGTGTTCCGGCTGGAAGCGAATACAATGAGGCTCGTGGAAATCTCAGTGCAAAACTACATGCTAGCCTGAAGAAAGACCGCGAAGCTTGGTGGTCTTATGGTGCTTCTGAGATGGAAACAGTCGTTACCGTTGGCAATCATCGAAAGTTATTCCGTCTGATACGGGAAACAGACAGCAGAAGACCTGGTGTTAGCGAGACCATATGAGACAAGAGAGCAGCCGAGCCGCAGTCTGTCAAAACGCTTGGCGATTTGGGCCGAACACTTTGCAAGGCAATTTAACCAACCTGAGTTATCGTTTTCTTCTTCGGGCATTGTGCTCTTCTCCCTGGGCCGTCTCCTTGGATCCGCCCTCACGCGCAGAAGTCGAACGTGAGATCAGGCTGTTGAAATTGCATAAGGCCGCAGGGGCAGATAGAATTCACCCAGCCCTCTTCAAATTCGGAGGACCTGCTCTAGTAGATGATTTACACGAGTTGCTAGTAAAACTTTGGGAGCAGGAGACAGTCCCGACAGACTGGAACCGCTCCGTCATTGTCCCAATTTTCAAGGGAAACTCCCGTTTGGAATGCAGCAATCATAGAGGGATCAGTCTGAGTTCGACTGCCTCTAAAGTTCTTGCCTCTGTCATTCTCCACAGACTGACTGGCACTTGTGAAAGCCAGATTCGTGAAGAGCAAGCCCGATTTCGTCGAGGTCGCGGCTGCATCGACCACATCTTCACCTTGCGTCAAGTGTTGCAGCACCGCAATGTTTATTGCCGACCCACCGTTGTCGTGTTTCTTGACATAAAAGGTGCCATCGACTCAGTCGATCGATGTGCCATTTGGGATTATCTGCTGAGGAAAGGTGTGCCTGAGAAATATGTAAACATTATCAAAGCGCTGTACGCGCATAGTTCGGGCAGGATGAGGGTTTATGGCAAACTCTCGCCACCCTTCAGTAGCACTAGCGGTGAGACAAGATTGATCGTTGTCACCTTTCCTCTTCAACTTCGCTATTGATGAAGTCATGGGAACAGCGTTCGCTGCACACGATCTAGAAGGTGTGGAGCTATTTCCTAGTGAGCGACTTCTTGACTTGGAGTATGCGGACGACATTGCCCTAATCTGTGACAGCTCCCAAACATGCCAAACAGCACTGGACCGATCAGCACTGCCTGTCAATCGTTTTGGGCTATGCTTTGCTCCATCGAAATGTGAAGTAATTCTCCAAGATTGGAAGGGACCTAACCCTGCGCTAACACTTTGTGGTGATCTCCTAGAAGTCGTTCAGGAATTCAAGTACCTGGGAAGCTATATTAGCACCCGTGGGATTGAAGATGAGGTTACGAAACGTATAACAAAAGCTCGAGGTGCTTTTGCCAAACCCCGCCACCTGTGGCGCAGACGCGACATCACTCTCGCCTTCAAGGGCAGAGTTTACAACGCAGCCGTCCGTTCAACTCTCCTATATGGCTGTGAAACTTGGCCCATCAAGTCGACAGACATAAAGAGGCTCGCCATATTCGATCATCGTTGCCTTCGCAGCTTAGCTAATGTCTGGTGGGAGCACCGCGTGAAAAATGAGCGTGTTCGACGTCGCGTATTTGGTGCAGGAAGAGCGAGTGAACCGCTCAGCACCATTATATCACGCACCAGGCTCCGATGGCTTGGCCACGTGTTGCGCATGCCAGCACATCGACTCCCGCGACGTGCATTGTTTGCGCGTTGTGGGTGCGGTGGGAAGAGGAGTGGACACCAAGCGAGGACTTCATCATCATCATCAACAGCAGTACATCAGCCATTTGAACTGATGCTTCGCTGCCATACAACCATGAAGACCTATGAAATAAAGAATAAGAAGAGGGAGAGAAGGGGGACTTACCTGAAAACCTTAATGCCTTAAGCAAACATTCAGGGTCAAGGCGCCTACACCTTGTTTAGACAACATGCCGCCACAAACAGCTGGCTATCGTGCAAAGATAAGGCGGCATCGGCGAGACAGCTTCCTTGCGGCTTTCACTGCCACGCGTCATAATCAGCCATTACCCCGCAGATAACTCAGCACCAAACACACTTTAAACAGACAATCCGATTAGGAGACGGCAGCAGACTCGCCACTGGTGTCGGTTGCGAGCCATGTCCTGTAAAGTCTCGAGCCAAGCACAAGGTGAGTCACGTGGACCCCAACCCGGAAGGCGAGACGGACCAACGGCACCCAGTTTGGCCGTCAGTGACTTCATTTCCCGCTGCCAAGTCAACTTCTGTCCACCTCGAGCCTTGCGCCATCCGACACCTGGTAGACTGAACAAGGTCCTCCTAGGTAAGCGGTGACCAGGCATGCGTAGCACGTGCCCGAGAAATGAAAACCTTCACTTCGAAGTTGGCGTCGGTTGGTGCATCCCGACTGCCTGGCCTGGGTCCTAAGGACGGTGAACACGTTTGGTTGGACACACTTGCTGATATGGCTCGGAGCCGGCCCCAATGGCGTTTGTGTTGTGAGTTCCTTTGTCGATCCCCCTCCTGTTTAGCATCCCCATCCAATCACAAGCTCATTTGTTAGGCATAATATGACTCTCTTTTACGGCAGAAAGCTGTTAGCTCTCCGGAACGATGTCCATCCGTTACTGGAGACTCAGCGAGCGTGCCACCGTTTGTTTTGCTTTTCTTGTTTTTGTATTGCGGCACAATAGCTGAGGTGTTTTCCACCTCCAGTTAATGTGTAATGATGATGATGACTATGCCATTTTACAGGCATGTTAGCGCATTGTACCAAGCTTTTAGCGTGACATTTTCGAAATCGCGTGCAGTACTTTCAAGTTAGCGAGGCTAAGAACGCTGTTTTGGCGTCGTTGACACTCTCATTGGTCATGGGACATTAGCCAATGGGACACCGGTTGGAAGCCCCCAGCATAAGCGACAGACAGTCCAATGAAAGTAGTCGAGCACCACCTTCTGTTCCGTCTTGATGCCCATCTGAAGTAAACCTCGGGAATTGGTCTCCAAACTGAAACCGTCCAAGGGGCAACTTTTGATGCCTGTCAAAGGAGGAGATCCTAGCTACCACATGATCTGAAGCATACCAGTGCGGACAGATATACTAACCAGCACATGAAGCGGTTTAAACTTAGTGATCGCTAGCGGCTACCTGGTGGTGGCTTATTCAGCGGCCTAACCATGGTGGCGTAGACAGGCAATCTTCTAACCGGTATTCAGCAGTCCCTGAGGTCGGAGTGAGTCAGACAGCCGTGCATTTGCGGTTGGTCAGGGATGCACCGTGCCTTGGACAATGTACACCCTAAGCTGAATGAGCAATGGTACTCCTGCAACCCGCCTAGAGGTGGTTTTAGACGGCATGACATTTTGAAAGGAAAGTAAACCAATGGCATCACAGCCACCGTCTTTAGGCAAATAGCAAGGGTAAGCCTATGGAGTGAATTCAAGCGATAAAGGAATGTGCTATGTAAATTGCAATGCGCAATATCTATAGGTAACGTCGTGATGCCACCTCGGTTTATTTGGTGCAGGGAGAAAGTGCCGCTGTTGTCACCTGAAGGGGATCACAGAGTGAGCACAGAGTTCGAGTCTTGCAGGCAGGTCTCCGATAAGCAGCAGATATCGATCGATGGGGTCTCTAATTCTCGGGCAAGTGCTGCCTGTTGACCGAGCTGCAGCAATGTGCGTACACCGAGGCATGCCAATCTGAAGGAGGATCGAAGGCTCCAAATGGAAGCCGATGAACTGGGGTGGACCAGTTGGTTGGACATGGGCTTATCAACAGGACAGAAGTGACGCTCCGCCTTCGCATGAGTTGAAACTAGAAGAATCAGGGGGATGAAAACTGGAAGATAAAAGTGAAGTTGGAACGGGACCATAAGCGTGAAAAAGCGTGAGGGTGAATAAGAAGGTGGGTACACTTGAGCAGTAGCAGCCAAGGCCCTATCCACCTTGCTCGATGCAGCAGATAGATCGCCGTTTATTATCCTCTGCGACGGCCAGGGCATCAGAACACTGTTTTTAGAAAAATGCATTGTATTGCGTAGGCAGAATGCTGTCAGGTTACCCAGGCCTAGGCAGGAGAATGATTAGGGTTCTCAACCAAAGTCTTTGGTTCACAAATCTGACCGCAAGGCAGCGGGTTTGACGTTGGGCTACAAGGAGTCCGTTTGAAGGAATAAGGAGCCACCCTCAATCCAATCCCCAACCTGGAGGACCAGTTTGTGTAGCGTCGAAGATCCACGGAAAGTGTCATTCAATGCAGTTCAGCGGAGCTCCGAGATATGCAGACACTTACACCACGTAGTTTTGTCTCAGCACGGTGGAAATGAGGTTTCTGATACTTGGTTCCCCCTAAGTTCAAGGTTACCGACACTATCATTCTGCATAGTGTGTCGACTCATGAGACTGCGAATCGGCGTTCAGAATGCTGTTAGCAAACCACATTACTTTAAATTGAGTAACAGCAATGTGAAGCCTTCGTAAAAGATCAAAACTAGAGAAGCAATGTGCGGCGTCTGAGACTCAGACTCTGGTGTGTTTAGGTGAGAACGAAGAGATGGTAAGTAGGCAGCAAGTTGGCGATACAAAGAACACGCGTTTTTATAAATCCTAACGAAAAACTAGTAGAAGGAAACGAAAAAAAACAAGTGCGCATAATGTTGCTGTGAATAACTACTCACCAGGGAATGTCTCACCATTAACGGCTTTCACCCAATTCCCAGCTACCAAAGACGAGTCCCGAGGCACTAAGTTATCCCATACCTGAATACTCGAAAAAAGTCGAAAGTTATGGCCACTGATGAGGTGCGTACACTTATGCACACAAAACGCCAAGTGGCGATTGAAAAGCCCCTACGAAGGTAAAAAAGAATGAAACTATAAATTCGGAAATGCAAATAAAGTATCACAGGAAGCGTGTAGTTAGCAAGGATTAAGATAATGACTATTGTATTACACATGTAAGTACTGGAAGCAGATAAGTAACAGCAGATGCAATGCAGATAGGTTGGTAAACAAGGAGAACGACAGGGCTCCAGAGTATGGTTCTGCAACATATGGAGTCAGAAGCACCAAGAGTAATAATGTAAGACGGTAAATATCAATTCAGTTGTTGAATAGCTATAATCGGTGAACCGACGTGCGGTGCATCCAGTTGGCAAGATGCACGTTATCGGATAAACAAATGACGATAGTAAGAAAATGAGGTTGAACGCAAACAGAACAACTAGAAAACAGAAGTAAGAAAAGAACTGGCGTGAAGAAATTTCTCTTCGACAATTCTCATCAGGCGTGTGCAATTATGGTGCGAAAAATCAAATGAACATTAAGCTATTTCTAGCCAGTGTGTGCAAGATAGAAGATGTCCGGATAAGGGAAGTGCACACGGGTTCAAATCAAATAAACTACAATCGGTCAATTACCTTAAGGTCACATGGCTATGCTAAGCCCACGGAAAGATAATGGCTAGCACCGGTCTTCTGCTTACACAGTTCTGGCTGTAGCCGTCTGAATACAATGGCTTAAGCCGTAGTCAGCAAATGCCTTTGGAGCCATTTTAGGTCCGGTTTGGTACAGCGTAGAATACTTTAAAAGTACGTAAAACTAACTAGGTGAAATGGGTGTTAGCAGGTTAATGCAATAAACCGAATGCAGGATGGCCAATGACTGCGCGATTGCGCCACGCCTGATAGGGTCTCCAACCACTGGTGTGGACCATCCCAGGGAACTTATCCACGTAGATGGCAGACACCAGCCAGACCAAGTCACTCTTCATGCAACGTCATCGACTGGCCACCTCACATTTCGCACAAATTGGTGCAGCCACGTCGTACGGTGCACGTCCAGGAAGTCGGTCAACGGGCGGTTAAGAAGCAGCAAGCACTCGAGTGAGGCACCAAGAGGCTTCTTGTAAAAAAACAACTAGCGGACCTCAGCATTTCTCACCCGATGTTCCCAGCAGATGTGCGCAATACTCCGCAAGCACCGGTGGTTAAACGCGGCCAAGCGTTTAATGTCTTCACTGCGAACTGGCCAGGTCTTTGACCCACACAATAACACCGGCTTTACAGCAGCAATGCACACCCTAACTTTCAGTGACAAACTGATATCCCGCCGTTGCCATAGATGGTTGTGCCTCTGGAAAGCCACACGGCCCTTGCTGATACGGAAAGTAACTTCTCCAGTGATGTGGCCACCAGAGGTGGCACAGCTAGTAAGCTGGTCGCTGATAGTCAAAATCGTTGGTGTATCGGCCGTCTTGCAACAGTACTTGGCACTTTGAAAGTGCAAAGCACATGTTGAAGCGTGAGGCGCTGTGCACCAACCTATCCAGCAGTGCTTGCATAGTCACCGCGACAGATCCAAAGAGAGGTATTTTGTCCGCATACTCTAGGTTTGTCAGTCGGCCACCTGATGCGGCGTCCACTCCGGCAGAGTCTGAAAGAAGGGAAGAACTTATGATCATTTCGATCACAAAGTTAAAGAGGAAAGGAGATATGGGACAAGCCTGGCGAACCTCACTTGCTGTGGGGAACACGGGAGGCAGTTTTCCGTAGATTCTTACCTGGCCTGGAGTCAGGAGAGACTTCAGAATGGAAAGTTCAGTCGGTACACCCTTCATGGACAGGCAGTGCTACAAGCTGCCAAGATCAACAGAGTCGAAGACAGTCTTCAAGTCAAGGAAAATCACCATACTCGGTCGTCTGTAAGTGTGTATAGGGTCCAACAATTGTGGAACAAAAATATGTTCATTGGGTTGTAGAGAGCAGAGAGGAGAATCCTTGCCAGCTCCTTTGATTCTTATTCATTGTGGGATAGCTGCGTGTCGTGGTGTGACGATCTTCCTCGAGGGCTCGTCGCAGTTGAAGCGGAGGCAGCAATATCCCAGCGTCTTCATTAAGTGTTCATCTAAAAGCCTCTTGAAACATTTCTCCGAAAGTGAGTCAACAAGTTCCTTAGATAAACTGTTCCACACATTCACCACCCGGGTGGACAGGGTGAAGTCTGAGCGAGCGTGGAGTCTTCGTGGTTTGAACAGCTTCCACTTATGACCTCGTGTCAAGCAGTCGGCGTTGGGGTGGAAGAGTAGCTCGTTTCCGAGTTCACCAAGAAGGATGCGTCTAGTGTGGATGAGATCACCGCGGTGACGGCGGAACTCCATGAATCAACTGGTGAAGTCTGAGGATAAGGAAGATCGCGAAGCCTGTAAACAGCTTCCGAGGCACGCTTCTGGACGTTCTCTATCAAAGATCATCAAAACTTAAAAAGCGGGAAAATGGCCGGCTGCTCATATTCTAGTATGGGACGTACGCATGCGGTAAATAGAGGTCGGAAGATCTCAGGAGCCATTCGGGAGAATAACCTTCTCAAGGCACATAGAAGTCTCTATGTGAATGCGATCTTCAGTGTGTCCTGGGACGTCCCAAGGTTAGAGGATACGATGACCCCGAGATCCTTTTCTTGAGTGGTGTTCTTGAAAAGAAATCGACCAATGTGGCATGTGCCGTATGCATCAGTGTAACCGATTGGGAGAACCGCACATTTATCACAAGTTACTAATAATAGCCACTTGGTAGACCACTCCTGCAGCTTCTCTAGAGTCTCTAGTAATTGGTCGGCATCGTCTAGGCTGGATACTGTCGACCATTGCTTGAGATCATCAGCGTGGACCAAGCAGTCGGTTTGGAGTGCAACCGGGCTGTCATACAGGTAGTTTGAAAAATTCTGGCCCAAGTACGAATCCCTGTGAAACACCAGTGATTGGCACAGAAGTGGATGTACTTCGATTGACCTTTACACGTAGGCTGCGGTCTCTTATGAAGTCGGCGATCCAGGAGAGGACTTAGCCCGTCACACCAATCTCTTGATGTTTGAGTAGTCGTTTGTGAGGAACTTTGTCAAAGGCTTTGCTGGAGTCTATGTAGACCACGTTTTTAGGTTTTTGGGCATCTATGGCTTGTGCTCAAGTTCCTCTGACGGCTAGCAAGTTGGAGACGCAGGAACTTGCGTTCCGGAAATCATGTTGGAGTGGGGAAATTAGGTCGGAGTTCTCACAGTGTAGTTGGAGCGCGCGTTTGAGGATTCGTTCCAGGGTCTTGCAGATGACTGAGGTCAGACAGATTGGGCAATAGTTCGCCGGATCTTGGTCGTCTTCGCCCTTGTACTGGGGCATCACTGTGCCATCTTTCCAGTCAGAGGGTAAACGGCCGACTTCCAGATAGTGGCAAAGTATTTGGCAGAGGGGATCAGCAATGTATTCGGGATGCAGCTCACCGAGGCCAAGAGAGGGGTTCAGGTCCAGTTCGAGAATGAGCTTCATCATTACCTCAGGGTTAATTACGATTTGATCGAGAGGGACAGCGTGCAGACAGAGTTTCTGCGCAGAGAGCGCCCCAATGAGTTGACCGAAGAGTACTGCAAAGCTCATATGTTGATGTTTTTCTCGTAATCATGAAACATATTGCCTTCCTGGGAGAGTAGTGTGAGGATACCATTACCCGCTATGACATTTCTTTTCAGGTATGAGAAGTTTCTTGTGATAAATTACAGATTCCGTGGCCAGGCTGTGACTACCGAAGTAGGTCGTTTCGCTTTTTCAGGGTGCAAAGGTTCATTAGAACTTTGTACTTTGAGTACCTGAATGCTAGTCGTGTGGTCTTGAAGTGGTCCCACAGTTTCCGTCGTTTCTTTCATTGAGAATCTGATTTCCCTGTCAATTCAAAGAAGGTTTTTGGAGGAAGGCCTGGCTTTGCAGTTTGGAACAAATTGTTCGATAAGCAGCATCATCTTGGGTTGTAGTCATTGCAATGCACCGCCAAGATCCAAAGACTGCGGAATACTCCAATTCAGGGTGCTTGCTGTTGCTTTAAGTCTGGACTGGTCGGCTCGTCAGAAGTTGTGACGACGTGTCCTTTGGTCATGAATTGTAAGGCGTCGTGTCCACTGGAAGATGACAGTGGTCACTCTTGCCCAACGGATGAAGGATCGTTAGATCGGAGACGTCAGATGGGGCCGGAGCGAGCGCCAGGTCTAGAAGATGAGATGTTTTGCCTGGCAGCGTCCGTGTTGGTGTCAGGACATGCATCGTCAAGTTACATTCGAGGACGGTGTCTAGTAGATGAGCTTTTGGTCAACACCGTATGAAAACCCAAAACACGGCAAAAGCTTTTGAAAACGCCAAAAGTTTTTGAAAAGCCAAAAAAGGCAAACGTTTTGAAAATATCAAAAAGAATTGCGTTTTGTTTGCCGCCTACTTTATCCGGTATGTGGCATTATTGCTTTTGACCTCGCCACCCATGTCATGGCCCTTGTTTCCGTTTACCTTCCGTGTACGAACCGGAGATGACGAGCTTGAAGTGAACATTTGGCGCTAAGGAAATTACGCCCATTTTGTGCTTTGGACACCATTAGGTAGGATACGGGTTGGAGCCCGATAAGGTCAGATCGCCTAGTTCTCCACCAGCAGCTGCACCAGGTTTTATCACCTGGTCTCGCAGAAGACTGACCCGGACGGACAGTCCTCATCTAGATCGAAGGGTTACCTACGGTTTCCCTTCTAGGAGGGGGGCCGCCCAGTTAGCCCGAGTGACCGAAGTCCGTCCGAATGGGTGAGCGAAAAAGCGCCCAAGTTGGACAATTTCCGGCAACCTATCGGTCACGCAGGAAAAATATGGAAGCATCATCCCGCTCGCTCGTATACAGTTAACTAAATTTCCCCCTGTGTTAAAGCACCACCGTCCCTTTTCATCTGCTAAATGCCGACATCACCATCATCAGTATACACGTTAGCTGCAGGTGGAATAGACCTTAGCTACTGTGCCGCTAAATGCCGACAAGGTTGGCGATTTACTGTAT